TAACGACGACAAATTACGAGAAAAGTCAAGCAAAATTAAACTCCATTATGTATTATGATAGACTTTAACCAATTCAAGTGTCAACATTTTAATAAAACTCAAAAAGTTGTTAATTGTAAAGGAAATGTTGTCGCGCCGACTTTTTCGTCGACCAACCGACATCGACAAAAAAGTCGACGACAACCGTAACATATGATTATTTATTTATTTATTTATTTTTATTCTTTTATGGTTTTTAAGCATTAAATTTATAGATTCAATTAGAATATATAAAATTTTTAATATTTAGATAAGGTTTTATGTTCTCTTATTCGTTTTTTCAACAAATTTAACAGGGACGAATCACGCAAAAAGTCGACGAATATGTATTATGATAAACTTCAACCAATCAAAGTGTGTATATTTTAAAAAAACTCAAAAAATTATTACTTTTAAAAGAAATGTCGTCACATTGACTAATGACAACCATAACATATGTTTTTTTTAATCATTTTATATATATTTTTATTCTTTTTATCGTTTTTAGTCATTAAATTTATGTATCAATTTAGATATATAAAGTTTTTACTATTTACATAAATTTTTTTGTCCATTTATTCATCTTTTCAACAAATTTAACGGTGACTAATTACGAGAAAAGTCAACAAAAACTAAACTCTATTATGTATTATGATAGACTTTAAGTTAGGGCTGGCCGACTGGCAATCAAAGTTAGGGCTGGCAATCCGTGTAGGGTTGGGGTTGGCGTGTCGGGTCGAACCCGAACCCTAGAAAATTATTGTTAACCCGAACCCGACCTGTTTAATTATACAGGGCGAGATTGTCAATCCTAACCCAACCTCATAAAAATCAGGTTGACCTGTTAACCCGAAAAAAATTCAAAACACAACAACAGTTTGAAGTTGAAAACCACCTTATGTTCGAAGCTAAAGCACAAGGGGTAACAAGTTAACAACAAGCAAGCACTCAAGAAAAAGATGTAATTTCTCAAAAAAAACGCAGATTCAATGCTATTTTGACCAAATCCAGGAGCCAAAACCAAAAACCATTTCGTTTCAACAAATCACTCACGAAAGATTGAAAAATTAAAATAAAGAACGGATGAACAGATAAATTGATAAAAACTTCGTCGAAGATCTATTGGGGGTGTCAATACGGGCGGTTCGGGTGAAATTCGGTTCGGATTAATCGGATTTTTCTTCTCATTAAATCCGCCGAAACCGAATCGACCGAATAAATTATCGGGTTCATCGGTTCGGAGTCCATTCACCCGCATAACAAGTTTGGACATTTTTTTTCCCAAAACAAAGCAGAAAAAATCCACCTCCCATGGCTTCGTTCCCGTCACCACAAAGAGCTATTTTCCGACAAATTCATCGCTCAACTTAACAATCACCATATCCACACAATCCATCTCATATCAGAATTCAAAACCAAATTTCATTTCAAAGCAATCGCCAATCAGAAACAGATCTGTTAAAAATCAGAAATCAGTTGGGCAACGGAGAAGGAGCCTTGATTTCTTAGATCTGTTAGAAAGCAATGAGGAGGAGCTGCAGTTCGCTTGTGTGGCGGTGGCGAGGTTAGAACATGTTGATGAATGGAGGAGGTTGATGGTGGCGCTGCAACTGATTTCGAAGTCCTCGGCAGCATTAAAGGGGAAGACTCGGTGGGTGGGTGGTGGAATTGTTGACAGAACGGTTAAAAGATTATGGAATTCTTGTGATGGTGACCAGATTCAAGCTTAGATTAATAGAATGAAATTGAGGAGATTGAGTCAGGTGTTGATTATGGATCTAAGAAGTTGAGTCAGTTTGATGAGGTTGAGTCCGTCGGCTACCAAGAAGAAAATGAATTTTGAGGGCTACAAATCTTCTTATTTTCTTAACCCTAATAACTTAACATATATATATATTAAACTAATAATAATAATAATAAAGGTTAGTAGGTTTTCGGGTGGTGCCCGAAATTTTTTTTCCTAACCTGCACCCGCACCGAATAAGGTATGCGGTTAATCGGGTGAAACCGAAAATACCCTAATTCATCCGATTACCTGAACCGTTTAACCCGAAATGGGTTCGGTTCGGGCGGGTCTTCGGGTTAACCGATTAACTGATACCCCTAAGATCTATTTACAACAAATCGTTGAAAACTAATTGGGGAGGAGAGAGAAAGTACGAAATCATAATTTGGGGGTGAGAATGAAAATTAATTGGGCATCAATCAATGAAAGATTTGGATTTTCCTTCCTTGGCTTCATAGCGGCGACAACAAGAAAGAAAGGGAAAAAGAAAGGGCCGTTGAAGACTGAAAGTGGGATATAGGTTTTATTTTATTAGGATAAGTTATATGTCAAAATCCAGAATTACCCATAGAATATTATATAAATTACTAATTACCTCACATATATGGGTGACCTGCATAATCCGGCCCGAATCTGACCCGTATAATAAACGGGTCAACCTAACCCGATATGTTTATTAAACGGGCCCAAAATCTCAACCCGAACCGTTTATTTCGTGTCGGGTTCGTGCCGAAATTTCGGATCATATCGAAGATTGCTAGCCCTAACTTAAACCAATCAAAGTGTCAACATTTTAATAAAACTCAAAAAATTGTTAGTTTTAAAGAAAATATCATTGCGTCGATTTTTCCATCGACCAACCGATATCGACGAAAATGTCGATGACAACAATAACATATGATAATTTTTATATATATACTAGTGATGTCTTGTCGCGCAATGCGCGACCCTGGCCCAATATATGTGTAGATCTTAGAAATGTTTCTATCTGAAAAAAAGTATTTTATATTTGGCCCGATATATTTTAGAAATTTTTGAAGAATTTAGAAATGTTTTATAAGTGTGATCATAGAAATGCTTGTATTTGACATAAAAAGAAATTGTGTTTGGTCCGGTACATTTTAGAAATGTTTGAAGATTTTAGAAATGTTTTATAAGTGTTACTTTTTAAATATAAATAAACTTGATCAAATATATGTCTTGAAGTAAATGCTAGAGAAAATATGAAAGTATGCCAATAAGTTTAAATATTAGTAAGATAATTTATTATATTCTCCATTGGTTGTGCCAAATCAATACTTAGTTTTGGAGATTTATAATAGCTTTGTAGTAAGCTTCCTCCCAAGGGTATACGCTTAATTGTTGGAACTATTTCTTCCAAAAGTTTATAGGTAGTAAAATAGCAAAAATATGATTTTGAAACTGGTTAATTGTTGAAATTGGTTGATCACAAATATGAGAATGAAAATAATGTAAATTTGCATAGGTTTCAAGTTATACCAAAAAAGAACTCACCTCACTATGGCAAATTAAGAAAAAAAAAAGAAATTAAAAGATAGCCCATTAAAAATTGAGAAATTTATTTGTATAAAAACACAAATAAACGTAGAAACACATTCCTTCCCTCTCCGCCTCAAATTCATAAAAGGCTTCCCCAATAAATTAATTAGAAGAAGCGACATGAACTATTTATATGATGAGAAACTAAAAAAAGTCCAAAAATCAAATCCAAAAAAGTATATTCTTGAAAGCTCGAACACAAAAAAAACGCGCTTCATTTGCAAATAAAATAATAATAATAATAATAATAATAATAATAATAATAATAATAATAATAATAATAATAATAATAATTGGTCACTTGCGAGTATGAAACAAAATCAAAAGCAATTAAACAAAAAAAAAACCACACTTCATAATTGACCATATACGAAAAAAAAACCAAGACTCCATATTAAAAAAAAGAAAACCACCCCAATTGAATGAAATATAAAAAAGAAATTAAAAAAACCACATTATGTAACAAAAACCCAATTAATGAATTCAATTCAAACAACTAAAATCATACAAAAATTCTAGGCTAACTAACCATATAAGAAATCACATCATATTACATGACAACGGCTACGGTAGCTGTAACAGATGGACGCATAAAAATAATAGTAATAGCACTATTCTTGAATGAGAAAAATAAAAAATAATAAAAGCCAAACAAATGATCTGTTGAAATAGAATCTTTTAAATTTTAATACCTGTAATTGCACCACCACAACGGCCGAAGCAAGATCAATGGGAATTAGTTTTTTTCCCTTTGTGTTTATATAAAGAGGAATTTGTTGTTTTTTTTATTGTGGGGAAGGGATTGATTTGGATTTTTAGTAGAGATGGGGATGAGGATTTGGATTTTTTATGAACTCCTGATTTTTTTTTTGTTTTTTTTGGTAAAAATAGGAGGTAGAGGTGGATTTGGACTGCATTTACCTTTTAAGTCTAGGAGATGTGGAAATAAAAATTTATTTTAAAAATACGATGTGAAAATGCTATATGGTAAATGGTGGTACTTTCTCTTTAGTGGGGTTTTTGTTTCTAATATAGTAAGATATATATATATATATATTTATGATTTTTAAGCATTAAATTTATGTATCAATTTAGAATATAGATGTAATTCTATTACCAGTGCCTCATTCAAGGTCAGGAACTTAACCACATACTCCTACATTTCTTCTCGACAAGGTCATTGACTTTAACCACTTACGTTTTTCATCGAGACTAATCTTTTTTTACATTTAAATTTCTAAGGATTCATAAGGGAAGGAAAGCCCAGATTTGTTAAAGTTTTACTTGGTCATCACTCACCAGTTACTACTTACTAGTAAAGGAAGGAAGAGTACACAGAGAAACCTTTCCCGCCCAAGTGTTGGTTCATTTCTTGTTGTTCAATACTCCTATGTTACAACATCCCAATTTGTTGTATTAAAACGGGTTAGTGAAATGATACCGCTTATTTTTATCTTTTACTCCCTCCGTCTCATAATTATTGTCCAGTTTGAATTTTTATTTTTAGTTCAAATTGTACTAAAAGTAAAATATCAAACTGGACAATAATTTTGGGACGGAGGAAGTATTTTTTTTTAGGGCTCTCCTTTAAAGTGTATCAATTATGATGTGTCCTTTATCATTCAGCCGTTGTACTGCAACACTTTATAAACGAATTTTCTGTGTTCTATAAATAGGGATTACATCCGAATTTAGTCAGCTTCTTAAATTATTTATAGAAAGCTCAAGTGAATTGACAATGTCTGAGATTGTAACAGAAGCTTCTGATTATTCATTAATACGATACTCGCATTATCACCATCCACCAAGAACAATTTCCACTCATTTTGAAGGCTTGAATTTTTCCTATTTTGGAAAAGGATGAGCACAACTTCAGCCATCTCTTTTCCATCAACAACACCCTTTAAAGCAAAATAACAATTTCTGAGGGACATTTCTTCCCTTCCTACCAATTACAAACAAGTGGACTAAATGATCAACTTTGAACAACCAAGCGTCTGTTTTTTAAATTTAGGCTCCCATCTTCCAGGACATGGTGAACTGTTTACCAAGAGGCAATTTCAACCCTTTAACCTCAACCATCATGCCAGTCCTCAGTTCATCAGTTTCATCGTCCATCTTGGTAATGAAATTATGTTGTGTCTGTGAAAGTTCCACTTGGGAGGCATCTGAATTGGTTTCGCCTTCGACCTCAATTCCAAGTGAACTAATATGAACTGCATCCAACCCCAAGACACTAACTTTTTCAATGGTCCAACCATTGTCTAATGCAAACTTGCCTTCTTGAACATCCGACCACACTTTCACTGTTGCATTACTTACTGTTGCGTAGAATTCAATGTATGAGGATGATGATCCGCCAAGTTTCATCTCTGGAAGCTCGTCATCATCAAGGAAAAGTTTTCCTTTGGCCTGTGCCTCAGCAGCTCCAGAAGGAAAGGCAACGATGAGGCTAAAAGGAGTCATCCTTGCTTGTTTAGATATCAAGCCACCCTGCTGCATTGGTATTATGGCATTTTGATACACATGCACATTGATAACATGCAGAGGAGCATCCAATGTAACGGAATGAGTTTCTTTTGACACGATAACCTGTGTCAAATCAAATAGACTATACCAGCTGCCAGGCGGAAACAGCACTGTGACATCGGTTTTGTTAGCCTCTAGTACTGGCGAAACCATGACGCTGCTTCCTAGCAAGAATTGGGTGCTCAAATCATAAAATTCGGTGTGTGTTGGAAAAGAGAAAAATACTGGTCGAGCAATTGGCGCGCCGCTGATATGTGCTTCATAGTTCAATGTGTAGAAATATGGAAGCAACTTGTACCTCATTCCCAGAGCATTTCTAGCTGATTCAGCAACTGTATCCCATTGATAAAGCTCCTGTCTTGGGGAGTAGAAATTTGCGTGATCCCTTGAGAAGGGATAGAAAGCGCCAAGCTCAATCCATCGGTTGCAAAGCTCTTCCGTTGGAGCTGGATAAAATCCACATATATCTGAACCTACCATTGGAACTCCAAACAAACCAAAATCTAAAATTGTAGAGATTGAATATTTCAAATCTTCCCAAGTGCCCTTGTTATCCCCTGTCCAATGTGCTGCATAATGGCCAGAACTGACAAAAGTTGAGCGAGACAAGATAAACGGTCGCTTTCCCTCAAGTGCTTGAAGACCTTTGTGAGTTGCAATTGCTTCAGTGAGTCCATATATGCTGTGGGCATCATATTCCCTGACTCCATTATAATGAAGTGAACTTGTGGCAATGGTTTTGTATCCTGGTAACGCTTGGATTCCTGAAGCATTTATCTTGTAAGGCGGATCATCCCATTTGGTTTTGGTTATGTTCTTGCAGTCTAAGCAGCATTCCCAACCTGGTCCAGTTCCAGAGGGGCACTGTTTCCCTTTTGGAATTGTACACAAGCCATTGCAGAAATTAGAAACTTCATTCATGTCAGTCCATAAGCCGTCAATAGGAACAAGTTCATGGAAGCGGCGAATTTCATCAATCCACCATTCAGTCGTCTTTGGGTTGAGGAAATCGGGGAAGTAAACGGCTCCAGGCCAGACTTGGGCGAGGAAAGGCTTTCCCTCGTATTTGATGAAGACATCATTCGCCATAGCTCTTTGATACGTGCCATAGCTCTCATTTACGCCAATGCCAGGATCATTGATTACAATGTACTTCATGCCCTCCGCATGAATTTTGTCCAAAAATGCCAATAGCTTGGGACGAGGATAATTCACTGGATTTAGTGTGAAGTCCTTGTGGCCATCCATGTGATCATCGTCATTCCAGATGACATCAAGTGGGATTTTGGCCTTCTTGTAGTTCTCAACAACATCTTCAACTACAGATAAATTATGGTAGCCCCATCTGCATTGATGAAAACCTGTGGTTTTACAGATTTACAAAGCATTTTGTGATGTTAGAACTTGAACAGAAGTACAGAACACAAGACAAAGATAAATAACTGAGATTCACCATTCACAATCACTGTAAGTAGTTAACTGAGATTCACCAAATTGTAGTATCTCGTTTAGTCATGAGTCATGACTCTAATCAGGTTTCAACCATCTTTAGAACTATCACTAGTTATCCTTGCAAGAAATTCATTTGGCAGTTTTAACATTGAAGTTCAGAAAATATGGAAATTGTGACCAAAAACAAGCAACTCCACACCAGGTATTTGGGATATGTAAATCAGTAATCATCAACATCCCTTTTTGGTTGGTAATTCAAAGAATGAGGTGATATACCAGATGCAAAGGTGAAACTTAAATAGTAAAAAACATTTGAACCTGCGCAACATGCAGTTGTTTTAATAACTACAAAATTATCCGAGTCATGTCATTCCTTCCATAGTTAAGGGACAGAATGTGAACAACACACTTGAACCTATAGCTTTTAGATAAGCCAATAGGCAATGGCAAATGGGCTTTGCTCCTTTGCACTATCATCAAATGGGGCCTCAAATAAAATTATCAAACCCAATAATTAGGAACATGTTTTAAGTTTGCCTCCAGAGTAGGGAAAACTAATACTGTATGATCAAAATTATATGGTCCACTTGATTGGTATACAGAATAGGAGGAAAAAGGATAAAACAAATAATCACAGTCTTGGTAGATTCTTCTTCTTTTGTAGTATGACCAATATCTTCAAATGAAAGGAGAAAAAAATAAAAAATAAAAACTTTCAAAAAAGTCTATTTTAGGCCTAGATGAAAATGAAAAATACTTGGTAGGATGCAGTGGGTTCCATACAGTTAAGCCTACTTTTGGACAATGAAATGTCAGGAACATCATTGATGTTTGTGTTCAAGATGAGGTGGATTCAATCTACCAAAATTAATAACAAGTGTAGGGATTAAGTATATAGGTCATTGAATAGGAATGGCAACCAAGAACCTTTTTATGCTTTCTTTCGACTGAATTCAATTATTCTCATATGAAAATTTCAGTTTAAGCAATTGATAAGAACACTAATTCAAAATTAATTCACTGATGTTAAGTGACTAACCACTCAAATGAAATAAATCTAAAGTAGCATACTTGACCAAATTATCCTCAAATTTGTGATGAATTATTACATGACCAACCCTACCAAATATTCCAACTATACTCAGTTAATTAATAGAATTATTCATTACTTTTTAAGGAATATATTAGAGAGGTGATTAAGAACGAATAACAAATGAAACAACCAAACATCACGAGAAGAAAGAAATGAGACAAGGAGTACAACTAAAGACGGGGGGACATGTATAAATAATTATGGGAAAGGAAACTGCCCCCCACACGAGACACAAATTCTATATTATCATTTCAATCATTGACAAAAAAACAAATCTTTTTCTTAACACGTCTCTTGCTGAAAAGATTATCATTTTGTTTGCCCTTTCCTTTCAAACATTAGCTTTTAGAGATCCTTAAGATTCGGATTATGTCAAATCTTCACTACCTTGTCTTATCTTGAGACCAGATGCTTAGTTCTTTGATTATCTGTGATTAACAACTGGAGTATTTCCTATGCCAATTCATGCCGACATCCACCTAGAGAATGGTCCAATTCTGAGCTGTTTGGAAATTCCACCCAAAATGAGTCTTCTCCCAAGGCAAACTTTGGACCACATTTATACTCGCCATAATATCCGGCAAAATGATCAAAATACTAATTTCTTTTTCTTTCCCATAGACCAAAGAGCTCGAAAATGCTGAATAAAAAGTCTTAGTTCTTGTTATCTTTGACAGGTGTATTGGTTAGCTATTTAGCATTAAACTTTAACGTAATTATTTTGGGACGGAAGAAATAATGATTAGTTTCATTTCTACCACTTTTATAGTACTCATGAAAGAAGACATCATCAGAGATTAAATGCAGCAAAAAAGTAAAGCAAATGTGAAACAGCTAACAACTTACCAAGAGCCCAATAAGGCATTGGAGCAGGGCGACCTATGAATGAAGTGTACTGATCAACAACCTCCAATGGTGAAGGGCCAGAGAAGAAGTAAAAATCAAACACACCCCCAATCACTTTGTATGTCAATGAATCTCCCCTGTAAAGAATATCCATCCCATTACTATTCAGCAACAGAACAGAATGGGCAAAGGCTTCCCCTTTCACATTCCTCAAGTCCATGTACATGGGGTGGGACCCATACAGATCAGTATTCAGGTAAATGGCAGATACATCAGTGGTGAACAATGTGAGTGGAGCATTAGGGTAAAGTTTAATCCCATGGGGTTTTGTGCTCTCCCCAAGGCCATACAGTGATGCATCTTTTGGCAATTTGGTTGAAATCTCAAGGTACTGGTCCTTGAACACTAAATTACTGTAAGGGTCTGAATCATCAGAGGTGGAATCAAAGAGGGTCTGGCCATCTGATTTTCTTTTCACTGCAAAACTGAAAGGGTCAGTCTTGTAGCTGAAAATGAGCTCATTGGTTCCAGTTTCATACTGTGATGATGCTAAAGGGAGCACTGAATTCTGGTTCTTTCTTGACTTAAAGATGGGTTTCTTCAATGCTGCTGGTTTATCTCTGGGAATTACGTCATATGGAACTTCCCACCTTGGTTGCTCTGCATCAGTAATGTGAACCCTCAACCGGTTCCCTGTTTCGTGCCTGAGAATGAGTTACAACATAAAAAAGGTGTTAACTTTTGATGACAAGTTTGTACAAGACATTAAAAGGAAGCAAAAAGCGTACAACTTAAATAGCAAAAAGAACTTCAACAGCTAAAAAGATCAAAACTTTAACAAATTGCGGATAGTTGGATAGTAGTTTGAACTTACTTGACATAGAGCTGAAGGTAAGGGATATCGGGACCATAAACATTGTTTTTCTTCTTGACTTGGAGCAAGCCTACAATTCCACCATCAGATGATTCTTCTACAGAAATCAGTTGATAGCCTTGGCCAATTTTGATTGGAGGTTTAGAGACTACCAAACCAATTTCAGCAATGGCTAAAAGGGTCACGAGAAACAGGGGCGAAATCCATGAAAACAGTGAAGAACGAGAGAAGAGCATGATGGCTAAAAGGAAGGAAATGCGCCCCCTTTCAAAGTGACTCTCTACTCTGTGTCAAAAGTGGCCTTATTTCGTTGGGTATATATTGGCTAACAAAATCACGTCATTTAGTCATAAAATACATGTGATAATGGGATGAGGTTGATGATGATGGATGATTGATGGTTGATTACTCTTTGTTTTTGGGATCAATGTTGCAATACCCATGTGAGTTTGATATTTCTCAAAGGGTCCCATCACCTCTTTTTGTGAGTTTTTTGGTCCCATTATCTCTGGCCTCCTGGACCTTGCAGTAGTTTTTGACCGATATATAATTTTGGTTTCTACTGTAGTATAGTATAGTAGTAGTACCACCAATTGCAAAAGAGGCCCAAAACTCAACCAAAAATTGGGTCAGTCTCAGTCATGCGCCATGTTCTACAGAATCAGTGATCAGGGCAAAGCTTTTCCCTTTCTCTCTGTTAGATTTCAGGCCTTGTGTTGCTTTAAAATGCGGGGATGGACATTTACAGGATAGAAATTAGTGAAGCAGTTTTGTTAAACTAGAATGCATTTTTGCTCAACCAATTGGCCACATTTCAAGTTTCTATGTGACTGAAGAATGGATAATTGGATAATGGTCCATATGATATGGACAACGAAGCATAGAATTCACTTGAATTTGATTCTAATAATATTCCCTTCTAGCTCTTGGACTTGGTTACGTGCAGACAGAGAAACTTTAAGGTGTTTTCCAGATTTATTGGGATTCTTTTCCTTCACGATGATGCCATTATTTAACAATAACAAACAAGAAATATTTCTTATGACTTGAGATCTTGAAATGATTGTCTTTTATTTATTTTTTTTGGGACTTAAAGAGTGGCAAAGTAGTGAGAAAAATATGTTCGCCTCTATTTCCCGTAGATCAATGATTAGGGAACTATTCTGTTTTGTTGTGGCGGAAAGAGTATAAACACAACAAATCAGTGGAAACGATTCATAAGAAAAACTCATTTCTTACTACCAATAGAATAGGACAACCAAACAAGTAAAATAATTCAATAACTGATAAAATAAAGGAGGCACATGAATTTACATGGAAATCCAAATTGGAAAAAATCACGGGATTGTAACAACAGTCAAATCTCCACTATCACAATAATGAGAAACAATCTTCACTAATCGGTGGATACAACATGACTTCACACAAAAGTGGATTACAACAATACTCTTCCACACACACCTAAATCACAAAGTAGGATTGGAATGATCTTACCAAAAGAGAGCTAAACTGAGAACTAAACCGGAAGATTTGTAGATCTTGTTGAGAGTAACACACATGCAAACTTGCACCAATAACTGACTTTGTTTCGTCACCCGATCAAAGCCTTAAAATGAAACACTTTCTTCTCGCAACACCAAAAAATCCCAGAACTAGCTTTTCTCTTCTCTTTTCTATCAAACAAAAATAATGTGCAATTCCCCCAAATTTGCTTGTCAAATTCACGGCAAAAAAAATCACAGCTACATTGCTTTTATAAGCAATCAAACCAAAAAATCAAATCCAATTGGTTTTCCTTTTATTCGGCCAAATTAAACCAAATCTAAGATGAATTTTGACTTTAAATCATGATGGGTTTAATTGAGGAGAAATATTGGCCCAATACTTTTGTCTCGAAAATCCGGAATCTCAATGTGAAGTATTGGTTTGAGAGAGAGAGTAGTACATTATTATTCTAACCAGCTAGGCTAAAACTAGTTTCTGCCATTAATCATCATAAAAAATTCTCAAAAAATGACACTGGAAATATCTCAGCAAAAGCGAGGGAGGCAATGATAGGTGGTGGTAATGGCAGGAGAATCATCCCCACAATAAGTGCGCCTCTTTTCTTCACGCTGCACTGGTTTTTATTACAAAGTGGTCCGCTTGATATTCGTATTGCCGTAGTGGGGAAATTCCAGTTTGCACTTTGCGGGCTGATGATGAACACTTCAAAAAATCTTCAGGCCAGAAAGTTTTTTTTTTCTACCCTAAATTAGCAAAACCAGCTTAATTGCAAAAAATCAAGCTAATGACTAAAACGAGGAAACAAACATCCACATTTAACGTAAGACAATCCGGCGATTTGATGGTAATAATAATTGTCATGACTCATGACACTTCAACCACAGCAACTTAAAGAGACTGCAAACTGCAAAGTTAATCAAACATTTTTGTCTGCCTAGGCCTTTCTGATTTTACCTAATTTGTCTTTATTGTGTATGGGATAATAATACTATTAATGGCGGCTTTGGTCATTTGCAGAATGGATAAGCTAGCTATGTGCCTGCTTGCGACTAAACAAAGTAGATGATGAAGATTGGTATGATAATTAATTCTTTTGCCTAATCCTGACTTGTTAGTTGTTACGATTCTGTCTACAGATGTCGCTTTTGGGCAGTTTTTCTTTGTTACATCGACGCCTATAATAATTTCCTTGAAGTTAGGTTTGTTGAGTCGCATTAAATAAAAAAACGAAGATAAGAAAACGGAGAATCCGAATCCAAAAATTTTAAATCGTTCAAGTTGTGTCGATAATAGTCAAATTCAAGTGGTACTAAGGGAGTTAAATTATGGTTAAAACATGGTATTATTTCCTTATTATATGTGTTTAATTGTCTATTTCATCACATTATTGCCGAAGTAGGAAATCAAAGTTTGGTTAATTTTGTTAAGTCTATGGATGAGCCGGTAGGGATCCATCGTGGATTGATCTTGGGTATTTGGGAACTGCTAAGGCAGGAGTGGAGGATTGAGTTACGGTATTCGTTTAGTGAAGCTAATTTTTCCGGCGGATTTTATGGCATTCTTAGTCACTTTTAGTCCAGAAGACTTGTAGTGACTGGCGATTTACCGTCTGGAGTTATACATTGGTTGAAATATGACTTTATCGCAATCTCCTATTCACAAAATGTATTAATTTAAACTTACATATTTTTGTCTCGTTTATTGCAAATTTAATCCAGTTTCTGAAGAAACCAGACAAAGCACCAATAGAGATTAGAGATACTCTAGTAGAAATAAATGAACTGATGTCTAGGTTTCGTATATGCACGATCAAAAAAGTAAGTAGAAGGATTTTAGAATTAGTTCACGATCATGCCAATGTAATCAACAGTCTGTACCTTATTCTGCTTCTTGATAATATCCTTTTTAATTTTGTTATAAAAAAAAAACAAAAAGTCTCGTTTATGTACCGGAAAAAAGAAAGAAAGAAAAGGGAATGGTCAAATTCCCCTAGTTGCCTTCATTTCATTTTTTGGTTCCAAAATTATCTACAATATACAATACTTTCCTCTATCTCAAAAAGGAGAAGATTAATCATATTCATTAAATTGTTATAATTAATTTAAACAAACAAATCTTTTTTCTCATTGGAGAAAAGTATAAAATTTGCATTTTATACAACTGTTATTATACATAATACAACGTGCAATCCACGCCCTATTTCTTATCTTTAAGACTTAACTTGAACTTTGAGAAACATCGTGAATCGTGATTACTTACAACAATTATAGATTCGAACTCCGTCTTGATCTAATTAACAAGTCATGAGTTTGCATTTAATCTGGTTTTCTCGCCTCGATTTTTTGTTTTTACGATTCCTTGAACGGTTTAGGTAATTCGAAATCGAAAATTCGATGGGAAAGTTAATTTAGACAGCAACAAGGAAGCACTAATAAAAATAACAGCTCAAATTAGCTTGGGTTTTCCCTCCGTTTGGGAGTACGTGAATGACTTGCGCGCCAATTTGGGTGGCACAAAACAATATGTACAACATAAACATGTGAACCAACCAATCAAGAACGCAGAAAACAAATGAAACAATATATAGATGTACAATTTGGGCAATGGCACATCTCAGCACCGACAATTTCTGCTTTCAATTTTGCAAATTTTTATGACCTTTTTTGGATCTTCCTAAATTTAGCCTCTGAAGCCAATTAAGATTTCTGGCAGAACCTGTACCCCAAAAAAATTTATAATAATAATAATAATAATAATAATAATAATAATAATAATGATGATGATGATGATGATAATAAATATATAAAACAAAGAAGAAAGAGAGGTATGTAAAACTTATTTACTCTCTCTGTTTTAAAAGTATTGTTCAAATTGAAATTTTACTTTTAATACAATTTGAACTAAAAATAGAAATTTAAATTAGATAATAATTTCTGGACGAAGAGAATACTACTATGTCGCCTTACCGTATATTGTCTCAAAATAATAGTTTGACACCAACAGACCGTCGTACACGCATTGAGGCCTTGTGTAAGCAATTAGAGAACTTTTGAATAGAAACTGGAATATTAGTCTTAGTCATGTCAATAAGAAATGTAGTTTTGTTGCAGACTATTTAGCATTGATGACAACAGAGAATCCAAGAGGATTTTTACGACTGGATTCACCTCTGCTTCGGGTCCGACCATGGCTACTTCATGAAATTTTAGGGGTGTCCTGCCCCCGTTGTGTTGTTGTACCTACTGTTTAGCCTGGAAATTAACTCCGTTTTTACCCAAAAAAAAAGGAAGTTCAATTTTGATTTTTACTATCAAAGTTTGTTTAATACATTAAACTTATCTCCAACTCGTAACAGTATCAAAAACAATTCTTGATCCACATCAAGCCTCTGCCGATTTGTTTGGTATTTCTCCGCAAGTCCAAAATGTTATAGGGAAGCGATAATTATGAGTCCATCATTAGTAGGGTTAAATAAACAGGGTTATAATATAAAAAAATGTCTTTGTTTCCCAATCTTTTTCAACTGATATTGGCAGTTGTAGGTCAAACAAACTAACAAAGAAAAATTATTTGAGTACAAAGTCTCCACTATATATTGATCAAAACACGTAAAAGTGTTTTTTTTTTTTTTTTGGAACGGTCGTAAAAGTGTTGTGTATAAAGACTTTTTAAGTTAATACTTAGAACAATACTTCATTGAAAATAAAAAGGAATTTCAAAAAAAAAAAGGAAAAAAAATGGCAAGAAAAAGGAGAGAAGGCTAAAAAAAATGAACTTGGGCCGATATCGATTTCCGTGATTATAACTGGGCTCATAAGATGACCCGGAGTCCGGACTAAAGAACAATCACAACATCAAATATATTTGCCCTCTCTCAAAATTATTATTTAATTTAGATTTTAATTTTTAATTCAAATTGTATTAAAAGTAAAATTCAAACTGAACAATATTTTTGGGATAAAGAAAGTACTTATTTAAGTATTTAACATATTTATAATCATCATTGGACACCATCACACCATAATAAACGTTTCCAACTTCAACTCATCGAGTAACAAGATTGTCTCGCACTCCCGCCACTTTTTTTATATATATATATATATATATATATATATATATATCATCAACTAGTATTATTCCTGCGTTTCCCGCAGTGAGTCATTATTTTTATTTTTTTTCTTCAAAATGACTTGACAATATTTGATAAATAAATTATGAGATCATTTTGGTAGAGCCAATTTTAGATCAATTTAAGAGTATAGATATAAACTTATAAGATGTGCATTTGTGCTTTAAAAATTCAGTCAAAAGTCACATTTGAAACGATTTTTAAGAATAAAATTGCAAATATTGAAAAAGAATTTGTTTACAATTTGGAGTAATCATGTTTTTATCGTTTAGTATCCTAAACTCTGATATAGTTTGGTTTGGGTTCTGCCCAAAAAAATACAAAGAAAAAAGAACAAAGTCTCTAATAATCGTCCAAAAGAAAAAAACGTATAATATATTGGAAAAAAAAAAGAAAAAAGAAAAAAGCGAAGTTACTTAATTTGGCAATTTCAGCTGTTACCGCGAAGGAGTTAGTCCGTGCATTGATAAATGATTGGACCATCCCATTACCAAATATGCCAAGTAACTTTGTACCAAATTCACAACATTCCCATTTTCTTCCGTAACAGACACCTTCAATAATAAATTTGTAATGCCATCAAAAAGCATGTCAACAGAGAAGCTAGACTCATCCAAATTGGTCCAGTTCTTGAACAAATCTTTGCACAGCTCTACGATGCGGAGCTTCATGTCGGGAAGAGAACGGGAGTGATCCACGGTGAGAGAAGAGCTTGGAATGTCGGAGGATTGAGTCTCCCGAGCTCCCTCCGCCACTTCGACAAAATAATTTTATAAATTTAATAAAAGAGATAAGATGGAGAGTTTCAATAAATTCACTCGTCTACTCCCTCCGTCCTAGAAAAATAGTCCAGTTTGAAAATGTACAATTTTTTTAATTTGGTCAACACATCAAATGTACAATTTATTTTATGCCCCTAACTTCCACAATGCCCTTTCTAGTTATTTCTATAAAAGTTAACTACATATGCATTTATTTTATAACTTAAATTTGATCAAAATTTTTATCTCAAAAAATATTAACAATAGATCTTGATGAAAAGATCTCGTTACGTAGATTAATTTGATACATAACATATTTTTTCAATTATTCATGTATTAAAAGATATAATCATTTGAAAAAATAGAAAAAAACTAAAAGAAATGAAAATTAAAGGAAGTGGACGTTGTTTTCCTTGCCATTACTCTTTTGAATATTTAAGTCATTTCAATTCAATTAATTTTGACTTTTGTGAAACTGAACTTTTTTTTGGGACAAAATTTTTTATTAAACTGAACTATTTTTTGTAGGAGGAGGGAGTATTCAAATTTCTAATAATGAGATAATATCGTTTATTTAATTGACATTATCACAAAGTTATAATAGCATCATTCATCTGTATATTTCTATATTTAAATGTTTTATTTGAATTTCAAATGTCAAAGTTAATTAATATGGGGTAGTAGCAAAAAGGAAAAAAAAATAAAACCCCTAACTCACTATATCAAATCAAACGCATTAGTATGTCTCATTTGCTGTCGCTGCCGCCTTTCTTCTTTGTTTAAATTTTCATTTTTATGATTGGCTGCATGCTTCTCTCTACCACGAGCTTTTCTCCTTCTTCTCTTCTTCCTTGTCGCAACTTTTCTTCTTCTTCTATTCATCATCATCACCATCATCATCTTTCGGTATCATTAGCATCCATCATCACGAATTCATGCCGGGTTGCCGGATTGATTCCGTCAATCAAAAACAAAGAAATATGGAAGATACAAATTAGTCAAACATGAACATGGCCGAAGAATTTCTCCAAATTGAAACAGTCACTCACAACAGAATAATTTTCAGTGACATATTAAAGGTGTTTTCTGTCGGTGTTCTTTGTTGAGGAGATCGGAAGTCATTGCCGGAAGAAATCTATTTGGTGAAGGAAGTTATTTTTTTTTTTTTTTATAGAAAATAACCATTTGACTGTGTTTAAATTAACCATACTACTTGAATAAAATACCTAGTAACAAAATACACGAATTAGAAGATGACATGTGGATTACATGCATTTCTCTACAAATGAAAAGATGACGTGTAATTGAAAATTATAAATGACCTAATTGACTAACATGTGTCTTGTGAAAAAAATTCCCTTAATATATAGTAAGATTTCTTGACATAATACAATTCTAGTAATTCAGAATTTTTGAAAATAATAAGTAGACATGCATGTAGCTAAAATGATGTGTTACTTGGTGATTTTTGGCTTTCTTACAAATCAAAAATTTATATCGTTATTGATATCGGATCCATAAGTTGATTCATAATCATGGATCAAGGTAACTGACCCTTGTGCATTCAACTGTCCATTGTATGTGACAGAATGAATTCTCCGCGATTCGGCTTTTCGACTGTAGCTGTGAATAATTGAAACGGTACAAAGGATTTGCTGTGTGATATCAGGGATTTTTCACACTGCCATTACTGTGGAGGAAAGCCAAGCTGAAAAGGGCTTGGCATGTACCACTTATGGGAGGAGAGAAATCAGATACCTTTCGGTGGAAGATGAATTACGGATGAGATCTTTATGTTTATGCAGAATGAGATACACATAAGATTGATTGGATGTATTAAAATAGTGTTGATATATGTAATGGACTGAATATTATTGACACTGTTCCAACAATCAACAACTCAGTTGTGTTCTACAAGACTATACAAGAAACATAAAAGAAATGGCAATCAAAATGCCTTGAAGATGCCTGATCAGCAAAACAGAAAAGTAGCAAATCGAGTTGAGCTCCAAATCATCCACGGTTCATCCAACCTATCCCCTTAAAACTTATAGAAAACGGAAAACACCGCGGCAATTACCTCACTCAAGAACACGCATTATCCAGAAATTTAGTAATGAAGAAGACATGTTGTTTAACGTATACTCATGTCAGTTACTTCTTCGGTTCCAAAATAAGAGTCAGACAGTGTACGTTGTTAATTAGTATAAACAAGGCTCTGATTTTGAGACGAATAGAGAGTTGTAAATCAACTATGTACAAACCAGAACAAAATATTTACAAATCAAACGGCACTCAGTCATTTTCTTGCCTCCAGCCCACAACTTTCAACCATCCTCTCCAAATTCCTTGGTGAACCGCTCGTGCATTTCGAGATCAGATTTGCTCACAGTTGGCTTCTGTCTAGCCATAATCTTGTAGAAGTCCATCTTCGATAGTGGAGGTAGGGTTATCTACAATGACATTAACCAAGATGCTGGTTAGCCAGTTGTAACAGTCAATAAAAAATAAAATGGCCAGTTACAGATAAAATTTTTGATCAGTTTCATGATTGGTTTGCATAAGAATCCTCTCTCCATGGCCATCAACTATAATACCAAAGCATTAAATTCCTTCATAACAAGTAAATTAAGGCTATAAGATAAAGCCTAACTAGCCGTCTGTTAACAACCATCAGGAAACAATAAATCTCTGAAAGGTACACACCTTGTATACTATAGAAAAACAGCTGACTTAAAAATCAAAATACTATTAATCAACATAACTCGTAAACATATTTTTTACCTTCGCAGCAAGTCCTTTTCCAGCTAGCTCCTGAATTGTTGTCTGGACAGCACCGGATTGCTTAGGCCCGCAAGGCATCCACAAACCATCAGAAGTCTTAACAAAGAACATGGCATCTTGGGTCTGTCGTACTGGTTCAAAGAGGACATCCCTGACCTACGTGGTACAAAAATAAAGAGGTTAGGCACACACCAGGTCAGTGGAGGATCCATACAAGACGATTGTTTTAAAAAAAGATGCCAGAAGGTGGTTAAAAACTGCTCTTTTACAAATTGCAAGACAACTCAACGCATTAAACTGACAGCCAACTTACACAAACAGATATATCAGACCCGGAAAACCGTTCTGTCTTTTGAGCCAGATCTTCAAAGTCCCTCTCAGTCAAGTTGTAAGGTGTGTCTCCCAAATGAACCTGCAAATAACCAAAGTTATATTGACAGCCACCACGCTGAAAAAACTTGAGCCTTTATATTTCTCGAAGAGATCTGCTCGGCATTGTTGTTCAAAAGAGGTGTACATGTTAGTAAATAAACTTAATTTGGTCCAATTAATATTGGGTTATCCAAAATTATTAACTTGGACCATGAATCTTTATGTTTAATCCTAAGCCCAAGTCCAATGAAGAATTGTCTAGATAAGAAGATATCTAGAAGTAGAAAGTTCTAGAAATGTTCTACATAAATATCAAGAGTATGTAGAATAATTCATGGAAAATATCTAGAAGAAATATCTAGATATTAGTAAGGAAAAGTCTAGATATTAGAATAAAATATGTAGATATTTAGAAGGAGAAGAAAAATCTTAAAAGAGTGTAGAACCTTCCATGCACTCCTATAAATAGGAGTTAACCCCCTAATGTAAGTATGTGTAGAGAGTTGTGAGAAACCTTAAACTAAAAGTTTAACACACTCCACCTTATTTCCTTTTACTACAAAGTAGTAAAGCTCCCTTTCTCCCAAAATTTCCTTCTCTTCCATTTTCACTTCCTAAACCTATCACTTAAAAGATCTCTTCCTTATAACCCAAAGGGTTCTTTTGCTAACAGTACAACCCTTACCTTGAACATATGTCGTCGTGCTTTTGTATCTGGCAGAGGAATGTAAATGCGCTTATCGAACCTTCGCCATATAGCCTAAAAGTTGATAATACATTGTCAAACAATAACCTAACAACAATCTCAAGGCAAGATGCTAATCAAGCTTTCCAGAATAGTGGAAACTTCAGAAATACACAAGTTTCTACAGACCGAACTAAAGAAGCAATACAGAGTAGTAGAAAATTTTGCCCAACAACAGGGCCTTCACAAGATGTTGTTACTGGGTTCACGTTAATGATGAGAAGGGAGAGGAAACTTAAGTTTCCTACTGGTATAAACCCGGAGAATGTAATAATATGTATTTGTGCTAACCGTAAATTAGCCTTCAAAAAAATAGCAATAACTTAGCCTTTAAAAAACACCCAAAAGAAAAGAAAAGTACCGCAAAAAAAAAAAAAAAAAAAACATAATGTACCTGATCAAGAGCATAAGGAGTATTCGTTGCTGCTAAAACAAAAACATTCCGATCATTGTGTCCGACCCCCTGACAAGAATACAAGGTTAACATTATTGCAGAAAAAAAGCACCGCTGGTTGTAGCATATCACTTCTGGCATCATTTTAACGACAAATATTAAGAAAAGATCATCCACAGCATACTCATGCAAGAAAAGAAATGTCAGTTGAACTGAAGAACGAGAACATGAAAAGCAGAATAATGCTGAGTTAATGTCAAATTTTCAATAACTGTCTAACTATAAAGCTTAATAACAAGCAGGAAAGAATCCTGCGGTCCGACTTCTTAGTCCTCTACCAACATCTACTTTCCCTTCTCTAGCAAATTCCTAAATTCAATCTTCATGTGTGTGGGTGGGTGAGGACTCTATATTCCCAGCAATGTTCCATAACTTTTTCCTCTTTTTTCTATTTCATGTTTGGATAAAAACTGCAATTAAGCCTCGTGATGCTTGTAGTAGACTCTTGATATATTCATCATGAAAAAACTAAAAAGCAGTAGAAAGGAGGACAACCTGTCACGTTTTAAAAAAATAAAGGTCAAAACACAAAGATGAATGACAGCACATGTCAAGTGTGAAGGATATGCATGCATGTTTCACGTCTTCCCATCACCCTGCCTCTCTCCCTACCTATAATAATAATCATCCCTGTTCATGCATGTATGCAGAATGCAACAAAGTTCAAGTACAAGTAGCAACAGAAAATACGACCACAGAGAAGGTGTGCACTGATTTGAATCCCTTAATACAACCATTCAACAAGTACCTGCATCTGCACAAGAAGCTCTGTTTTAATACGTCTTAAAGCTTCACTCTCATTTCCTTCTCCTCGCTGACCACGCAAAGAATCAATTTCGTCCACGAATATGATGGAAGGAGCACTTTCCCGAGCCATTTGGAAAAGATTTGAAACAAGTTTTTCACTCTCACCCATCCACTTTGATACAAGGTCTGAGGATGAAACACTGCGTAAAAGCAAAGAATCACTTGCAAACTTCATTACTATAAACAATAAGCAATTAGAAACCTACAAGTAATAAAACAACTAACAAAATAAATGAACATATTGTGTGTCATATGAAATGGAAGTATTTTATGACTACAGAATATATATATATGTATATATATATATATATATAATACAATAATCATAAGTATATAGAATAGTCTGCAAAGATTTTAGTAATTTAATACTAATTTAATTAAAATTATCTATATTACTAAGCTATTAGTTTTACTATAAAAAATTCGAAACTTGAGCGATAGCATTCGTTCAAGATTATCGACTCCCGTTCTTACAAATAAAATTGACGTGTTCCAAAACCTGAACAAGAAAAAGAATAACAATAACAACAAAATTGATAATAGTTCTTTTCAGCCTTTGCAGCTTGTGTGCCTGTTGGAACTGTAAGCTAAGATACGGGATATTTTAGGGTTTTCAAAAGGATCCTTTCCCATTAAATATCTAGGTGCTCCAATCTCACCCACTGCCTGGAACCAAGAGGACTGTCAGGGAATTATAGACAAGATTACAGCCAGGATAAATTGTTGGTCTACAAGACACCTGTCGTACGCTGGTAGACTGACCCTTGTTAATTCTGTTTTGTTAAACTTGCATTCATATTGATCCGACATATTCCTTCTCCCTCAATCAGTTGTTCAACAGATTGAAAAAGAGTGCAGAGTTTTCCTATAGGGACAAAAAGAATTAGGTAGTCTGCAAGAAAAAAGTAGAAGGTAGATTACATATCAAGCAGCAGGGGGCATGGAACAAGGCTCTAGTAGGGAAGCAAATATGGGACTTGGCAATGAATAAGGAAAGTCTTTGGATCCAATGGATCAACATATATATTACTTAAAGAAAAACAATATTTGGGATTATGAGCCACCTTCAGATAGCAACTGGCACTGGAAGAAGCTCATGACAATTAAAAATGAGCTGAAAGCAGGTGTGCTGAATGGGGAATGGACAGGAAATGGTGGCAAGAGATACACTGCAAAATCAGGGTACTTGTGGTTAACAGGCAAAATTGCCAAAATTCCATGCGTCTAAACTGATATGGTGCTCTCTGAATTTGTCAAAGTATAGTTTTATTACTTGGCTGACCATGAAAGAAAGATTGTTAACACAGGGAAGGTTGAACAAACTTGGTGTGCTGATTGAAGATGAAAAATGTGAACTATGTGGTAGCACTGAGGAAAGTGTTGAACATTTGTTCTTTCTTTGTCCACACTTTCATAGGCTTATTAATTGCACTAAAAGATGGTTACAGGTGAAAATTTCTGTAGTTAACCTCAGAGCAAATGCTAAGAGATTTCTGAAATTCTGGGAAAGGAAAAAACTCGGATAGAAGGTCTTCTTTGCTGCTGCCAGTGGAGTTTTTGTATCATATATGGTCTGAGAGAAACAATAAAAAATTCAGACATGAGATTAAGGAAGTCGATGATAGGTTTGATCAATTGAAAATGGAGTTGTGTTGGAAAGTTCAAATATACGGTAGAAAGGGAAGCAATGATGATATACGGTATCTTAGAACGGTTGGTATAGTTATCTAAAGTTGTAATACCATTTGCAGGCTTGTACATGTTTGTTCAAAAGTTGAAGTAATACAATTTACCATGTTACCCAAAAAAAAAAAAAAACAAAATTGATAATAGGAAAGAAAAAAAAATCAATTAATGAAACACAAATTTTGTCCAATTTCTGTGTAAATTGAAAGTACAGGTTTAAATTCAGAGAATAGTTTTTTTTTTTTTTTTTGGTTAATCAGAGAATTGAGTTCAAAATTGCAAGCGGACGTAATCAATAAAACAAAACTAACCGCAACAAATCAAGCAACTAAAAAATAGGCGAAAATATTAAAAAATTAAAAAAAACTTTACTATGGCTGCGGGGCCATTTGTGCTATTGTTGAGTTTAGCTCTGGAATGAGGAGAAAAAACACACAGTACAAACCTGATGGCAATAGAGAAGAGCGGTTCCAACTATACTATGCACTGCCACCAATCAATATATATACATGTTAGTTTAGTGGATTTTTGGATTTTTTTTTTTAATTTTAAATTATTGCTTATTAGGGTATAGATGAATTGATGATAAATTTTTCCACTATTGTAGCTGATTATATCACATTTAATTTAATTGATCGTGTAATTAGAGTGGGGGTTGGGTGGGGTGGTTAGAAGATTAGGATGGGGGATGGTTATTACCAGGATGTTGATGGTTCGATTCTCACTGGGACAAAAAATTGATCATGTAATTATTACCGATTGATTTTTACAAAATCATTTAATTCACATTCAAATGTAATCTTGACTATAGTAATTTACAGCTCTGCAAAGTTAAGAGAAGGAAACAAAAGTGTCATATTTATTATCTGTTTAATTTCATAACAAAAGTGTTAGTATAAATTTGTATTTCCTTTTTCTCTCATAAGAGAAGAGCTCTTATCTCATTTGATTTCATTGATTATTTAATTGAACAATTATTTATTTCCTTTTTTTATCTCCGTATTTTAATCCAAATTTAAGATTTATACTTTTAAATTTTAATGGTTTGTTTTAATTACTTTATATAAAATTCGAGGACTCATTCATAATTTTTTTTGAACATGATTTCAAATTTGAATCCCATAATTTAATTGGAGCGATTTTAGAGATATGATTTACTCTTTATAAATGTCAATTAACTAATTTAATTCAAAATACCTAAACTTATGGAATTAATCTCATAATAAAAGTAAAAAATTATGTAAAGTAATAGCACATTTAATGTTTATAATGATAATAAATTATTTCAAATTTAAAAATTCATTATGAGCCAAGATTTTGCAGGAATGTGATATGATTATTATTATTATTTTATTTTTTTTGGGGAAAGTTTGCCCTTTTTTAATTTTTTTTGATAATAGGAGGACTTGTTCATAATTTCACTTAGTATTTTTTAGGAGGATATCTGAGGAAATTAATGACACATAAGGTGGCACCTTTAGATATCTCTTTTGTTTTCTCCCTCTGATTTCTCTCTTAGTATAATACTATAGATCTAACATTATAAAAAACAATAATAAGTACATTTTATCATCTATATATATATATATATATATATATATACACTAAGTGTTAGACCCGTCCGATAGACGGGGAGGATATACATATATAGGAATTACAACAAAATTGAAGCAAAAAATATTAATATTTTTTTATGTATTTTGTATTTTTATAAAATATTAATTATAAAATGTATGTATAATAGATTATAAAATATAAAACACAAACATAAATAACACTTTACCAAATAAATACGATGGTATTTTATTTAACGCAAAGAGGATAATTTACAAATCCAAAAAAAAAAAGAATATAAAAAATGAAAAAAAATTAATTTCGAATTAAATGATTACATATCAGGGAAAATTTCTTTGTATACTACATTCATAGTTTTGGAATTGACGTTACCATCTTCATCGCATATCAAGACTTTTATTCATTGTCTCGAAGTTACTCATGTTTTCAGTGTTTTTATTTTATTCTTTTCTTTTAAACATACAAGGGATTCTCACCTTATTTTAATTTAATCTTTTTTTCCATTTATTTGTTTGATTTAGTTGTGTCTCATTATATGTCTAATAAGTTAATTTTACTTTAACTTACCCGTTGCCATAGATATTTTATGTAACATATGAGAGTGGAAATATATTTTTATCCCTTAAAGAATATCATTCCAATATTTTTGCTCCATTAGTATCTTTTTTCTTTTTTTTTTTAATTTTTTTCGCTAATGTCAAAGCCACCTTGCTTAGTTTCCTGATTAAATTCTGTTTTTTTTTTAAATTATAATTTCAAAGTTTGGTTATTTAGTTGTTTAAGCAATATTTTTATTTTCTTTAGTGATTTTACAATAATTATATAATTGTTTTTGTCTTAATCCCATATCATTTTTCTGACATTTAGTTTAAATTATGAGAGACATAGTTGTTCAGTATCCAACCCAACCCGCTAATTAGCATAAGGTTGGGGCTTCAAGCTCATCCTTTTATATATATATCTATACATATATATATATATATATTTATAGGTCATACTAAATTTGCACATTTTATTAAAATGATAATTCTTTAATTTGGAAAAAAAAGAATTTTATCTATTGAAATTTTTTATAATAACATGAAGATCATAAACAATTAGAAAATTTAGATAAATATTGAAGTGGCCCAACGTCCTAATTCTATAAAAGAGATTTTTAAATTTCTACCTGTATTAAAGTAAAATTTATTACTGCACTGTTTCAACATTTTATTTCTCCATTTATTTCTTGGTAGTTCTATGCAAAATTTTATTTTTATTTTTATATTTACTTTTTTTATTATCCATTGCAAATGGAGTTGGAAGAGTTATTATTGACAATTCTTTCAGCTTTGTGTTAATAATAGATTAAATCAAAATGACTCATTTAAATTTCAACGCTTCATAATTTGGTGAAATTTCCGCAAATCAATATATCAATGCACCAATGCATCGTAGGTCATCCTACTTAAACAGCCTTTCTGTATTGAAATACAGGGGTAAGACTGTGTACATCTTGACCCCCATACCCCAACCAAGTTAGGAATATACTGAGTATGTTGTTGTTGTTTTATATATAGATATATATATATATATATATATATATTGCAGAAAGTTCTATGCACAATTAGTTAAAAAGTAAATTGTATAAAAATTGCAATTACAATGATTTTTTAAAAACATAAATTTTGCAACGCTCACCATGAAGAAGTTGTACATTTATGGAGTTTCACTCTTGTTTTAGACAGCTCAATTTTGTTGTGAGAGTTTCTGGATTCTACCCTCTAATTCTATATGAGTATTGGGTTATTCATGTCATATCTTCACCAGATTCACCATAATTCTGTCAACTTCAACGATTAATTTCTTTCTCCTAAATTTCATACCGTTAAATGGAGAGACGAATGTGCCTTGCATTTCGAGTCTCAGTATGTT